TCGATGCCGCCGATGTACTGGAACAAATACGGATGTAATTTTTTCTGGACGCGTTTTGGTTGAAGAAGTGTCAAAAGCTAGAATACACAGACCATTGGGGAGAGTTGCATCGACAAAACTACCTACAATGCTTATCCGACAAAATTCAGATTCTACGCCTGCGATGGGAAAACCTAAGTTTGCCGCGCTTCTAAGACAGCCAAAGGGAACACATTACATAACTAATGAAATTATAGGACAACCGTGAGGTGTTACAATAGGCGCTCTGTCTGGTATGACTTCTATACCGAAATTCATTCTCGTTCTCTGCTTGCGATGTGACTTCCTATTCACCCAGCCATAAAAGGGAGAAGTGAAGTGCGAATACAAAGCTGTAATACCCGTTGCAGAAACCACCAAGCTCGTAGCACGGCAATACTCGGAATAGTTTCTTTTGAACTCCGCCAACAAACGCACCCCTTCCATCCACCTCTCTCCTTTCACTCAAACCACTTCAAAAAGCTCAGCATAACTTCAGCTCTCTTTGCTATGAGTAACGCCCGCCTCTAATGATGCACAATTTGGTGCAATTTTCACGAATAAAACAATGAAACTTCAAACCATTGATCCGGGATAATTTATGAATTATCACTGCATGAGAGTGAACCAAGGTCCAGAAAACTGATGATAAAATCTCTTCATATTTTTCTCTACCACTCACACGAAAACTGAAATCTGGTCTACAAAACGGATGAGAAATCTCACCATGGATTGATATTCGAAGATGTGATATTGCTCGTTTTCAAACTTGATTTCTTCGGTGATACACGCAGGCTATTGCTACGAGCCACGGTGACCGGTTGCGGTACAGGAGTGTTCATCCTAAAACAACAAAACACAAGATGGAAAATAGAAAGTCAGGTGATCAAATTGGAAAACAGCAAGCATTGTGGGATTCAATGCACATAGTAAATCTGACGGCGAGCTGAGCATAAAAAACGCAAATGATATTACAGCTAAAGCGATGCACTTAAGATTGATGAGGGTTTTTGTCCATAATTGTTGTACAACATAGAAATGCAGAGACCGAATTGCGGTTTTGCTTAAATCAACTTATGAATTTATTCCCTTCAGTTGTAATATAAGCATATGCTAGAAAGTTGAAAGAAAGTAACGGCACGGTAGTTAAATCCTTCACTGTTTACAATTTTGATTTGCTATCTCATGCGGGCTTTATTGCACCGTTGTTCATCGAAGGCGAAACTGTTGTATATGGCAAGATAGCGAAGTTTTTCTTTTGTTGTTAACGTAAACCTTAAAATGAGAACATGACAACATCTTCCATCAAATTTTAAGGGAACACTTTGCAAAAACGGTGTAGAATAATATATACAATTAAAATCTTATATAAAAAAGATAGATGAAAAAGCACAAGAAGAAAACATTAAGATAGTCTCACTAATTGCAGTTCTGAGCATCTTAGTTAAGGATTCATATAGAACCATAAATGCTGCTATTGACCATCACGGTGAATCGTCAATTATAGGCCTCCATGTATGCCTTACGCCCTCTAGAGTAATCAGTTGATATATGACTGCTTAGAGTTAAAGTCGGAATGGGCGATGGAAGCGCTTTTCCGCAAGAAATATCAGAAGGCCACACATAGAATATTCGCCTACATTTTATCAACCTTCCAGTAGCGGGAGAAACGAGACGAGAAGCGGTCAGTGGGTCACCTCGCCTTGTTCTCGATGCAAGGAAATCACACACAAGAGGGAAGGAAAGTCCATCCATGAGTTGCCTACTGCTCCAAATTCCTTTATTTCGTTCCTAGCAGCGACTACTAGAACTACTAAATACTATGAAACACTCAAATAAAATTCCACGAGAAACTGCTTCAGAACTTCTCAAAACGGCTGCGCCCATACAATAGGAAAACTTGGAAAGGAAAGCGATGCAAATTCACAAAATTTGTTGTACATTTGCAAAAAGAACAAACAGAACTTTTGAAATACTTTCCAATATTAGTAGCAGTCAACACCTGGAAGTGAAATCGATGAATCTAAAACTCATGTTGCAACTTCGCAAAAATATTGGGTGGCGCCTCGAACGAAAAGTCATAAGAAAGGGGTACTTACAGCACTACGGGCGTCATCGTTAAGGAAATAATCAAACCGTTAAAGCATAAAGGAGGAGGGATACGGGTGGAATGAGCATCAAGACACATCAAGAGAAATTCAAAAAAGCAGGGAAAGGGGAAAAGGTGAAGAACGTTAAAGACAAAACATCCAAAAACCGACCTCGATCCCGGTCCGCGTATAACAGTCTTCAGCTCGGCTATATCCACGGGAGTGATACAAGAAGGATCAACGATCGGTTTGGGACGTCCGCTGAGCGCTCTGGGTGGTCCGAGCAGCGCCTGCCACTGCTAAAAAGAAAGTAGTTAGCAACTCCTACAATCCCAAATACAAAAACAGCAAATATGGTTCATTCCCTTTCAGGATTGAAAATAGACCTAAATCGATTCAACAGTCCAGCATTACAGACCATCGACCTAAGTAAAGAGTTACCCTTCATTAAGATGAAGAAAGAAACAGAATAGTGAAAAAAGTAATCCTGTAGTATTCTATGTGGTGTTTAGGGCGGAAAATGTGTAGAGTCGCCGCGTTTCAATGCAACCTTCTTTGTGTTTGACACAAGCTTGCCTACAGCGGACTCCGCTTAACCAAACAGGTGAAAGAATACGCCAATCTATGCCAACATAAAGTCAACATCGCCTCCGACAAAAGATAAATACATCTAAAGAAAGTACGCAATGATCTCCATGAAACACTGAAACATGGCAAGTCATTCATTCCACCAACTATTTCTGCTGCCTTTTCGAGATTTTTTCGGACGTCTTCATGATTTCATGGCAGTATGTACCGTTGCCACTGTTAAAAGATTTCTAGAAGTAACAACAATCGATAATCAAAAAACTTTCATT